GATCAAAAACAGATTAGAATTCGTAAATAATCGAACGGTCCACATGACTTTTATATCCAAAAATAAATAAACTAAAAATCGAACCGATAGCAAAAACGAAAAAAAAGTATACAAACTAAAATCGAACCAGAAACATATTGTTAAAATTTGGGTAAAAAATCTTCTCCCGCGCTTTCAAAGCGCGGGTCAAAATCTAGTCTAATCTATTAAAATAGAATCATTCTTTTTATCTACTAATAAAAGTTGTCATTTAAATTTGGACCCTTTCTAGAATGTTACAAATAATACAAGTCATATAATTGATTGAACCATATTACTTAAATTAAACCAACACAATTAATGTAAAGAGACGACCTTAATGTAAACTACCTTCAAAATATGGCAGGTATCTATGTGTATACCAAAAATACATATTTTCTCCTACAAATATGGAATGTTCTAAAATAATATATATCATAAAAATATGGAATATGGAAATCTACTAATTATACTTAAATTAAACCATTAGTTATTTATGAAATATAGTCTTGGCTTATTTTTATTTTTTGAACAAATTATAGTTTGGTTTTTGGGCTTAGTATTAAGAAAAAAACTCTAAAAACATTGAATAAACCTTTTACTTTAAAAGATCAAAAAAATCAATTATTATTTTCAGACCCAAAAGATATTTAATATTTTTAACAAAACAAAATTATCTATTATTAATCATTTATTTAAATCATGTACTTTAAAACATGTTAATATATATTTTTATTTTAAATAACATTCACGTTGTTTTGATAAATTTCAATGGTAACTTTTAAATAATTTATTGTTTTATTTTTCTTAAATAATTTACTGATTAAAACAATGTAAAGCAAAACCAAAAACGAAATCTAAAAACTAAAATCCTAAACCAAAAGCTGAAAACACATGTTATATTTTTTTTCTTTGTTTATTTACAAAATAAACTATTTCAAATTTTTTTAAAAATTTGTTGTCATCTTTTCAGTTTTGAATTAGATGTTCGATTATTTGAGATTTGTTTATTGGTAATATTAGTTCAAACTAACTCAGCGGGTTTAAAAATTAAAAACTCAAACCAAAAACTGAAAATGAAAAGTAGAAACTTAAAAACTAAAAACCAAAATCTAAAAATAAAAACTGAAACTAAAAACTAATGAAAAATAATCATCAACACAAATTTTGGTGAACTGATTTTATATCAAAATATTCTTTAAACTAAGACAAAACCCAATTATATAAATTTTTAATCATAAAAAATTTCCGCGCTTTCAAGCGCGGGTCAAAATCTAGTTTTTAAAATTAAAAGGTACTTAAGAAATAAAGAGACTAAAAAGTTTTGGCTATGTTATATTTAAAATCAAGATTTTTTTTAACATCAAAGACTATTCTGTTACTCAAATCAAAATATTTATATTATAATTAAAATCACCTAAAAAATATAGTTTTATAAATTTTGAATTTTATTTTTAGCGATAAAATTATTACTTTTAACTGATTTAATGAATAATGTGTATGAATACACACAAAAAAATAAATTTTGAGTCTTATTTTTAGTTATTACTATCAATATTTTAGTAATGTTCATAAAATGTATGCAAGAAGCTTTAGACCATGATTAATCTCAATTTGTTAACTGAAATTTTTAGATTTGGGTAAGAGACAATTTTTAATTTTTTTATAATTTAACTAAAAATTCTAAAAACCGTTTTTTAAATAAGAGATATAAAATCGTATCTTATTTGAAAAATATAAAAAAATATATAAAAAATTGCTAAAAGATCGGATTAATCATGTCCTTAGGTTAGATAAGTGAATAAAAGAACACTTGGATTGCAAGAAAATGTTGAAATCGGCAGAGGAAAGGTTTATGACACAATGGCTTAAACCAAACAAGAAAACTATAACGATTACATTCATACAAGTTTTTTTTTGGCGCAATGAACAAACAAAACGAGTATTTGTAAACGATGGGGGCATCAAAAGAATCTTTTTTCGAGCTGTTCTCTCAAATGGCATTTCTGGAACCTAGACAGTCTCATGAGATTTACTGAGAACCTAGCCAGGACGTGTTAGGCTTGGAAGATGCTTCGGTTGAACCGTCTATTTGGTACGGTGCCTTTGATGTAATCCTGTTAAAAAGATTACATGTGGAATATGTAGAAACTTGCTTTAACAACACATTAAATTATTCACACAAAAGAAAATGCAGTTACCTATCCTTTCTCTTCTCCAGGAATCGATGAAGCGAAGCTCTTCTAGCAATTGGAAGCTCTACAAAATAAAATTTTTAAAAAGAAACAGAGAAAAAAGTTAGCAGAAAAATGGCTAAAAGATAAAATCCCCGAGTTGGAACCAAAGAGGGGTGAGAAATTTATAAATACCGCAAGCTAAAGAGGACGTGTTGGTCTGTATTGGCTCTTGTGTTTTTGTAGGACTAGGATTTGGGGTAGTAGAAGTAATATCTTTATGGTTCTTGGCTAAGTTTTGAGTATAAGCAATATCTTTATGGTTCAGTTCAGCTGTGAAGCTTTTGGCACTTCCCCTGTTAGCTAAGTCAATGAGTTGATTGGCTTTCTCAGCAGGAAAATCATCAAACACCATAACTTGACCACCGTAGAATATGGTCAAGGGAGCAGAAGATTGAGACTCCACCTTCAGAGTTCTGTTCAAGATCATTAGACAAACCCCACAAAAGTTAGTCAAATCTAGCTTATAGTATATGATCATATGAAACTCATCATCGTTATGACTTATGAGATAACAAAACATACTTAGTCTCTGTGATCTTCTCGACTTCTTCCTTTGCTTCAGAGGAAGAGGAGGAAGACAAGCTTGACTGATGACGAGGAACCATATCATTCTTTGGTTTAACGTCTTGAGGAAACCAAGCTTCTTCACAAGGGAACAGATTCATCACTGTGGGCTGACGTGACACAGCCAAAACTCCTGCAAAAATTTGATCCAAAGCTAAAGATTATTCTAAACCAAACATAGAAACATAACTAAAGTAGAACCGGTTCATCTATATGATTTCAGTTTCCGGTCAACAGACAACAAGAAACCGGTTTGTTTGGTTACCGTTGACGTCGGGGTTGCATGTCATCCCTAAGCTGAGATCTCCAAAGCTACCCTTCTCCTTGAGATAACGACTCAAACGACTACACGTCTCTGAGAAGCTCGGCTTCTTCTGTAACTTCCGACCAGAAAATTCCCGACACTCGGCAGAACTCGACATTCTTCTGCTTTCTTAATCTCTGTCTCTGTTGCAAAGTGAGTTTTGTGACGAGGAAAGACAATGTGGACCTCTCTTTATTATCACTACTACTACTACTTTTATAAAGCAGTTTCTTCGCCGGTTTGCAGATACCCAAAATAAATTCAAACTTTTATTACAAGTAATAGTGGCATTTAAAACACGTGTTGTTATTAACTGCCTTTATTCTAACGGCAGACAGGCAATGTCTTTGAGTTCACCGTCACCCACGCCACGTCCGATCCTACCAGAAAAGCTATATATAATATGTTTATGAAAGTATCTACTAAAATAAAAAAGGACACCAACATGCCTATGATTAAATTACTGAAAATTTGAGTCACTTGAAACAAATCTCAGTTTAAATAATTAAACATCGATTATACAATAGGCAAGTGGCTTGCTGCTGAACCCTTCTCTATAAACTATGACTAATCATGTCATCCATAAACCACGTTTTGTAATGACAACATTGTAATACTTGTACAGTAAATATAATTTACTGATCTAGTTTAACTCCTACCAAATATTGTTACTAAGTTTTTCAAATAAGTATGGCAAAGACTTAAGCCACTCTCTTTTTTTGAAAACCAATTGATTTTGGGATCAAGTTTTTGAAGAATGGATATAGCCTATGCTGCTTTAAGAAACTCATTGTCCATACCAAATTATGATGACAAGAAAAAACTTGAAAGTAAAGGTCCTTAGGTATAATCATTTTCAGAGAAGACCTTAAATAAATTAGAAGGAACATCATGACTGAAAGAGTAAAGTATAATTAAGAGAAACATCAATCAAATTTAATTTGTAAAAACAGTAAACATGTGAGCAGGTTGTTGGGAGAGGTAAGATGAATAACATGTGACAATATATTTGTCTAACTACATTATGATCGCAAATGAGAAAATCTTAAATAAAAGCAAGTGGGAAACATAGTGGCCACCTAAAGGCAAAGAGGGGTCAACAAGAAGAATAGAACATAAATGTTCAATAGTCTTTACATTTTTTTTCTTCTGTAGAAATGTTATCTACTTGTGGTTCTCTTCTACTACATGTTTTGAGCTGTTTTTCTATGTAAAATTGGTTATGATCAGAGTATAATTGTCAGGAGATACTAAATTTAACTGGGAACTGATTTGTTATTTTTCATATTGTATTATTAACAATAGTGAATGAAATACTACAAAAAGGCTACAAAGATTCTAATCAAAAGGTATCACACAGAAGAGATTTTTTAATGACAAATCCAAACTCTGCTACGTTTGCTCCTATTCAAGTTCTCTGACACAGCAGATCTTTCTCCTAATATAGTTAAACAAACTGTGTTGATTCCCGCAATAACATAACATGGGAAGTTCTTGTAAACACTGCACATAACAAATACATGCTTTGAAACTCAGCTTCATCACAAAACAAACACTTCAGGCTAATCTTAATATGCTAAGGTCAGAGAGAAAACTGTCCATTGAAGATACATCAGAAAATAAATGAATGTTAGTATACCTTACAGCAAGTTATACAACCAGGTTTGGTATACAAGCAAATGATTGCTTTCACTTGTAAGGAGCAAAAATGATGCTGGAGTTATGACCACCAAACCCGAAAGAATTTGACAAGGCTGCTTTAATGTTCAACCTCTCCTTCTTAGGACCAACCAGAAATTTTGTATCCTGCTCCAGTTTTCATCACATTATTAGATGGTATTTGTGTAGTAATTAGTATACTAACAAAAAAGCCAAAAGAATATCAACATACCACTCCATTCTCTGGATTGTCCAGGTTGATATTTGGATGAACCCAACCCGTTCTTATTGCCTGTAGAAACCAACAAAAAAATCAGCATGAAAAAATGTGAAAGCCTAAACATATCTACTTTTTTATTGTCTTACCTGCACGGTGGCGACAGCCTCTACAGCTCCAGCAGCTCCCAGCAAGTGTCCGATCATAGATTTCGTAGAGTTTACCTTTAGCTGCCACAAGAGCAAATAAGAAAAAGCACATAAAACTATAGCTTGGAACTTTGTATCAGCTAATATACTAAACTTAAAGGAGGACTAGCAAAAAATGTAGATACCTCAGGATTTTGACCAAAACAGTGAACAAGGGCTTTGTATTCCTTAAGGTCTCCAGCTGGTGTTGAGGTTGCATGTGCATTTACATAATTTATCTCTTCCTTGGATATCCCAGCATGAGCTAACGCTCTCTCAATACATATAACTACACCAGCTCCTGTGTATATTTAGACATGCGTTAATGGCTAAACTAAAATGAAATAGGGGGGAAATGAAACTACCATCAGGGTGTGGCTCAGTCATGTGGTAGGCATCACATGTGAAACTCCCACCAAGGAACTCTGCGTAGATAGTTGCTCCTCTTTTCTGAACAAAAAGAAGCATAATACACCACTTGTTCCATACAAGGATTGAAGAAAAGCTTGGAGATAAGTTGTAATACCTTAGCATGCTCAAGTTCTTCCAAAAGCAGAACTCCAGCTCCCTCCCCCATCACGAAACCATCTCGATTCTGTAATGCAAACCAAGACCAGAGTTATATAATAAGAAGAATGAAACATAATACACACATTTCTGCACATTACAGATACAAGAGGAACTTGTAGAAACATTACACTATCCCAAGGACGTGAAGCTTTTGCAGGATCACTATTCCTTTTTGAAAGAGCCTTGACTGCCACGAAGCCTGCTAACCCTGCACTGGTACACAGACGCTAAGATACATGTAGCTGAAAGTTCAAAGAGCAGAGGGAACAATATAGTGCAGGAGAGAGAGAGTTTGCACCTATTGGAATAATAGCTGCATCTGAGCCACCACAGAGCATTACATCCTGAAAGGTTTAGGAGACAGTCAATTAAAGTAGAACCAGAAGAAGTCTACCAAACTTTTAAGTGGATGGAGGATTACTTACAGCTTCACCTTTAATAATGTGGTTAGCTGAATTCAAAATGCAAAAGTTGCTTGTAGCACAAGCACTTGAAATAGAGTAGTTTGGCCCCATCCACCCCTAATTTATCATTTAGTGTTAAAATAATTGCTGGTGTTCATTCATTCATATATTTTGTTATATATAACAATCAGATTTAATGAGAGACCAGATCAATAGCAAGCATAGCAGAACCCATGTTAGTTGTGGCAAGAGGAACACAAAAAGGATTCATCTTCTTGTAAGAGATCTTCAGAGCTTGAATAGCCTCATGAAAAACCTTCATGCCACCCATTGCAGAGCCAATTAAAACACCACATTTGGCTTTGTCAAACTCAGCCATGACTTGTTCAGTAACACCACCATCAGCCAAAGCTTTCTTGCCAGCTGTGAGAAGATAGAGCATGAACTTGTCCATCCTCCTAGACAGTTTTGGAGAAACCCATCCTTCAGTTGAGAAAGATTTGATCTCTCCAGCAATTCTCTTGACAAAAAGTTAAAACAAAGGAAAAATATTAATGGAAGAAAGCTTCAAACAAAGCCCTGATATAATAATAATGGCTTACCGTGGGAAAGTCAGAACAATCAAAATCTTCAATGTGGCTAATACCACTGTTGCCTTGTAGCAAATTCTCGTAAAAGGTATAAGGGTCATGACCTAATGATGTTTCAACTCCCATGCCTGTCACTACAACACGTCGCTTCTCAATAGGGGGTTTCTTGTCATTCTCCATAGCCATAGCAATAGCCATGGTGGCTCTACCTAAGAAACCATAAAATACATTATAAGTTGATGAGAGAGCAACTTAATGAGCCTCCATGTCAATGGCATTATACCAATTAAGTTGCATGATTTATATTTAGAGTTTCACTCCCATTTGTACAGGTCTCAAAACTCTGTATCCTTTATAGTCCTTACCTAGAGTCTAAAACTCAACACAAATAATTACATGGAATCAAGATAAACCCAACTTTACCTCCAAAGGTTTCACCATTATCCCAATAACAGAAACTCATAAAACAACATGGAACTAAGACTTGTGTAAGAAGTTACCAAAAAAAAAAACCAAGACTTGTGTAAGGAAACATGAAAAAGAGAAACTTTTAAACATGAAAAACAAAGCTTGTCAACTTGAAAACTATACCCATAAATAAATAAATAAATAAATAAATAAAACAAGATTTGACATATCGTTGAAGAATGTTATATACCGGAGCTAGTAGCTCGGTTCAGTCTACTCTGGTTTCGATACAGAGAAAGAGTATTAGATCCGAAGAGAGAAGACAAGGCAATAGTATTGTTGTTGTAGTGGTGATTGCAAGGCCTAAAGTCCAAATAGGCGTAACAGGAAGAGGCAGCCACCATGGCAAAACTGAAAGAGGCCAGAGAGAACAAGAAGAAGAACAAAGACGAAGCAAGAACGTAAAAATGTAGAGAAGCGAGAAAGGAGTGAAGAGAGAATCCAGCGGATTCACGAGAGACGTTAGATGATTTTGATCATCTCTCTCTCTCAGGAAGCGTGTGTATGCGTAAAATCCTGCACAAAACCTCATGTTAAACAGAGAGAAAGATACTCACGTATGCTTTATTAATACTTCATTTTGTTTTCTAGTATAGCAAAAAGTCATCTTAGTTTAAAGTAGTTTAAACATTTAAATTATGATTAGTATTTGATAATCTAGTGTGCTTTGTCAGAAAATTGTTAGATTTAAACTACTGAAATCTCTAAATCATGATTTAAACACACTCACATAATAAACATTTTTTGTTTATAACGCTATTGTCGATGGAGAAGCTAGAGAGGTCTGCACAAGGAAAGAAGATAACAAAACAGGAAGAGTTAAAGATTAGAAGAGGCTCTTTTATTGCTTCGTGAGCTCTGCGGGCCCACTAAAAGCCCATTAAAACCTTAACTGGGCATGATAATAATAGATCACAAGCAAATGTATAATGTCCATGTCCGTCTGCATGTTGCTACAACCTGCAACCACAGCCTTGTCACAAACTGCAGCTTATCTAACGAATGATTCCAAGTTTCAGAGTACCAATAAGTACCAAAAGACCATAGTTGGAAACTTTGTGATCAACTAAGAAGCCTGTTTCAAGGATCCATACATGAATAAGGATTGACAATAGCCAAGCTAAGCACTGCAGTGTCTCCACTGTGATGCCATATAAGGGTTGAATACAAGCTCAAACACTATCCTATGGGTGGAAACCAAATCATTTTAATCCACAATTGGGAGAAACTTACCGTTGTAACTTCTGAACATTCAACTTCTTAAAGATCTTTATGCATTACGTCTATAAAGTTTCCATGCATCCCCTGGTTAAACACCACATAATATAATGACAAATAAATTTTGAGTATATATATACCATGAGAGACAAAAGTATGCTTACACTTATAGCCATCGAAACAGCATTGTTTTCATTTCTTACCGCCTCGTCAAAAGTTACCAGTAAAATCTCCATGTCGATATCTATAAAAGCTCAGATCAAAGTCAGTTCATGGCCAAGCGCAGAACAACTAGAACAAAAGATAGCTTTTCTAATAAAACTACCTATACAGAAACTAGTGTGTTTCTGTAGCTCTCTAAGCCGTTTCGTTAACCTGCACACAACCTGATAAAATTAGAAAAAAAGAGAAAGAAGAAAACTCCAAGTAGAGATGGTAAATGCAGTTGGAGTGTTTTAAGTTTGTTATAGAGATAGTACCACAGAGAAAACAAACGTTACCTCTTCAAGACGCCTTCCCCCCTTCAAAGCTGAACGGCCTTAATAGCCAAAGAAACATCTAAGCTACCTCTAGATCTCAACCTGGTCAAACAGTGATGAAGTCTCTGCTTCAAGACTAAATCTCCAGAGCTGTCTCTGTTAACTTAATACTCCTGTAAAGGAGAGACCTTTGCTACTTTCATGACAATAAATTGGTTAATTGTGAATAAACCCTTATACTTTACTATGTTTTATGTTATAGTCCATTATTATGTTTTATTTACAAATATACCCCTAATGTAAGTTGACGAATCGAGGGAGGGAATATTACCTTTCTAAACCGATCAATCACGTCCAAGTATTTTGGGTCTACGAGTTTACTTTTGGGTCAATGATATCTTATAAATCAAATATTTTCTATAGATTTATTATTATCCATACAAAACTAAGAAGGTTTCTTTATCCTACTAATTCAATGGGTCCGATATATTTAGGAGACGAAAATGTTTATTTTAATAAAACCACTAGAGAAAGAAGACAATTGTGTTTAATACTATAAGAACTATAAAAAATACATATATTTGGAACTAACATCAGATACGATTTTTATCTTCAGCATGTTCAAGCAATCTGTTTAATCGCATCAAATAAGATGAAAATAATAGAGCATGTGTGTCTCCAATTAAAATATCTTAAAACTTTTAGATCTAAAAGTTATAAGATCCAGCTTTATAACAAAAAAGGCAGCGTGTTTAATTTAATTAAAGGAGGAAAAAAATCTTATTTTTTTGGTACAATATATTTATTTATTTAATTTAATTTAATTAAATGAGGTTGCTTCACGTTTGAGTTTCGTTCAAAGTGTAACAAAAAAACACACCACCCAGGAGAATATTATCGGGTGGTCGTCGCAAATTGTCAGCTTTCGAAGGATTTGTCTTCGCGGCGGCTTTTTAAGACCTTGTCGTATACTGATTTACGGTACACCCTACCGTCTCTGATCATATCCAAATCAGATTGGATCCTTCCTTCTACGAAACTTTTGGTTTTTGAGATTCACATTCCTTCTTCCTCTGTTTCATTCTAACGTTTTATCCTTTTCTTCTTTGCCTCTTCCACCAACTGTTTTCTCTCCCTCCCTCCCCCTAACTTCTCCAGGTACTTTTTTATTCTCTCTGTAGATTTTGTTATTTGCTTTGTCGTCCAGACACGTTAAGAGATGTAAGTGTGTTTTCTCTTGTTCTGTCTCTATGGTGTCTTTATGTCACGTGTGATCTGAATTTCATTAGTTTTTTGCGGTATTCACAAGTATTTCCCGATTTAGGAATATTTCTTTGTGTTTGTGTTTTGAATAGTGATTGTTAATACTCAGTTTTGATTCATTTCTTCTACTCAGCTTTTAGGTTGAAATTGTAACTATTGAGAAATTCCATGAATTAAACTCGAAAATAAACAAAAAGAACTAAAGAGAAAAATAAGCTATTGAAAATTGAAATAAATATCTAGTTTAGAATTGTATTCATTGATCGTGTGAATGAATAATTTTTCTTTTTTACTGTAGTAAGTTCTCATTTTTTTACCGTAATAATAAAATTGGTGGCTCTTGCATTGGTTTGCTAGTCTATTGTTCAGAACTTTTATGTTAGCATTGAGTTTTTGTCTTTTTGACTCTAATAAGGTTTTTATACTGGAAAAAAAGATGGAAGTTAGTGGAGACTCTGATAACTTAAAGAACCGTCCCTTGACACCTCTAAGGACTCTAAGAGGTCTCATCATCTTACTCATCTTCCTCTCTACCGCCTTCATGTTCCTCATCTACTTCGCACCACCTTTTGCATTAGCTCTACGCTTTCTCAGCGTGCACCAATCTAGAAAATCCATATCCTTCATCTTCGGTTACTGGCTAGCTCTATGGCCTTACCTCTTTGAAAAAATCAACGGAACAACGGTTGTCTTCTCTGGAGACAGCCTTCCTGTAGAGAAACGTGTTTTGCTGATAGCTAATCACAGGACGGAGGTTGATTGGATGTATCTATGGAATATCGCTTTGAGGAAAGGCTGTCTTGGTTACATCAAGTATGTGCTCAAGAGCAGCTTGATGAGGCTACCTATATTCGGATGGGGGTTTCATGTTCTTGAGTTTATACCTGTGGAGAGGAAGCGTGAGGTTGATGAGCCTGTTATGCTTCAAATGCTTTCAACGTTTAAGGATCCTCGTGAGCCTTTGTGGCTTGCTCTCTTCCCTGAAGGAACTGACTTCACGTACTACATGTTTTCTTCTCTGAGTTTACATATAGATGTGTGTGATGATGTGCACTTAGTCTAATTTTATTTTCATGTGCAGTGAAGAGAAGTGCAAGAGGAGCCAAAAGTTTGCAGCTGAAGCTGGTCTTCCAAAACTTTCAAACGTACTTCTACCAAAGACAAGAGGTTTCAGCGTTTGCTTAGAAGCTCTACATAACTCTTTGGATGCAGTTTATGACTTGACTATTGCGTACAAGCCTCGTTGCCCATCTTTCTTGGACAATGTATTTGGTACTGATCCTTCAGAAGTTCACATCCACGTTAAGCGTGTTTTAGCAAAGGAGATTCCAGCTAACGAGGCAGAGTCTTCTGCTTGGTTAATGGATTCATTTGAGTCCAAGGATAAGCTTTTATCTGATTTTAGTGCTCAAGGGAAGTTCCCAAATCAAAGACCAGAAGCAGAACTATCTATGCTCAAGTGTGTTGCAACGTTTGCAGTGATAGTATCTTTGACGGTACTGTTTCTTTATCTCACCTTGTATTCACATAGCTGTTTCAAAGTATATGTTGGTCTTAGCTTCATGTATTTGTCTTTTGCTACTTACTATAAGTTCAGACCTTCACCATCTCTTGCCTGTTGTAAAGGAGGAGGTTCTTGTAAAGAAGCAAAAATTCATTAACTCTGTTGTACATAACAATTTTTTTTATTTCCAGACAAGAATTTACAGGAAAAAATAAGATTTATGGGATTACCTTTCACTGTTGTTTATATTGATTTACTGGTTTAATTGTATTTCATTTGGACTTGTATATTTATTTGCATTATGGTTGTGTCAACCTGTTTAGTCTTGCAGTAGGCCATTGTGGGCAATTAATTGTAGGAACTGTGAAACTAAACTCTCTTGTGTTCACTGAGTTAGAAACAACAATAGGTCATCAACTCTTATTGTTGTCAAAAGGTGTTCTTATATAACTTCTAGTTCCCATCTGAACAAGACCTTTGTTAGTGATGGAAGAAGCAAATAATAACATGCTTAACTTTGTCCCAAAAGGATGGTACCTTCTTCTTGAAGGTGATGGGAGAGAGAGAAGACTGTACTCGTGCTCTATAACTGCTCCATAAGATCATCTTTTCAAACAGAGCATGTATAGCATTGCTCTGTTTTATTTACATGCCTTTGCTTGTTCTCAAGTAGGTGGAAAAGAGATTAGGTTAGTTTTGATTAAAAAAACAACTATAAACTTTCTTTACCTTTTTGGTTGGCAAAAGTTGAGAAACTTGTTTCTTGTAAGGTAGGATTAGACAAGAAACATGAGTAAATGTGTGCAAATAAAAAAGATTCAAGACATACAAATACAACTCCATATCTTTTTGAATGGGCAAAAAGAGAGTGCTATACTACACAAATGCTTAAACGCAAATGATACCATGTCATTGAAACTTTTAATAATTTCAACTTAATGTTTGTATATTATATAAAACATTTAAAGTAAAATTAAAATTCATAGTGCCAAAGAAGATGTGCTGGGCTAACCATTATACCAAGAAGAGTAAAATCTTCTAGTAACCATCGCTTATATAAATAGAAAGATCCGTGACAGTAAACTCATATTCATCATCACAAAACCAAAACCCTAATAAAAAAAAATGGCGAATCTCTCCACTATTCACATTCTCTTCTTTGCGTTCATCACAAGTAACAACTCTGTTTTTTAGTTTCTTCTCTGTTTCACACTTTCACTTATGTTTTTTTTTTTTTTTTTGCTTAAATTTGGATTTCACTTATGTCTTTATAACAGTTTGTGTTGTGTAATGATATTACAGGCGGCGTTATTGTTTCCGCAACCATCTTCACTTTAGAAAACAATTGTCCTTACACCGTGTGGCCAGGAACCCTCTCCGGCAACAGCAACACCCTCGGAGACGGCGGCTTCCCCTTAACCCCCGGCGCTTCTTTCCAGCTCACCGCTCCTCCGGGATGGTCAGGACGTTTCTGGGCCCGCACAGGCTGCAACTTCGACTCCTCAGGCCACGGCACATGCGTCACCGGAGACTGCGGCGGCGCTTTAAAATGCACCGGAAACGGAGTTCCTCCAGCGACTCTCGCCGAGTTCACCGTCGGATCAAGCAACTCCGGCATGGATTTCTACGACGTGAGCCTCGTCGACGGTTACAACGTCAAGATGGGGATAAGACCGCAGGGAGGAACAGGAGACTGTCGCTACGCGGGTTGTGTTTCCGACATTAACGAGATTTGTCCTAGCGAGCTTAGGGTTATGGATCCGGTGAACGGTGGAAACGTGGCGGCGTGTAAGAGTGCTTGCGCGGCGTTTAACTCGCCGGAGTTTTGTTGTACGGGAGCTCATGCGACGCCGCAGACTTGTTCTCCGACGCAGTACTCGACGATGTTTAAGAGTGCGTGTCCTAGCGCTTATAGTTATGCTTATGATGATGCGACGAGTAGTTTTACTTGTAATGGAGCTAACTATGTCATCACTTTCTGCCCTTCCAGCTCTTAAACATTCGGAGCTCCGGTTTAGAGAGTTGCTTATTGCGCAAGGAAAGATGAATATCTTCTTCCCTTTTTAAAGATCCTTTTAATATATTCACTTCTTTCACTCATCTCATTTGCATTGTTGCATACAATGAAATAATTTAAAGAATCTTACAGATAAAAGATTAGCTCTTTGAACTATAATTACTTGTTAATTGTATTCATGATGCTCACACATTCATTTGACTCTTTTGTTAAGTTGGTTGTGTCTTGCAATTGCCGTGGAGCAAGATAACTTTGTATACGGTGAAACTCTTTGTGTTCACTGAGATAGAAACAACAAGATGTCATTTAACCTTGTTATTGGCAAGGTGTTCTAACTTGTAGAATAGGGTTTTTTATTTGAAGAAAACTTTGTCGGTGATGGAAGAAGCACAGAACCCATTTTTGTCTCAAAGAGATGTTATCTTCTCTTGCGGGTGATGTGTGTGTGTGTAAGTGAGAGAGAGAGAAGACCATTGCTCGTGATCTTTAACTGCTCCATTAGATCATCCTTTCAAGAAGAGCATATGTATAGTATCTCCAGTTTATTTACATGAATTTTGCTTGTTCACATGTCATCTTATCTCCTTATCTGAGTAGGTGCAATAGATCATGTTAGTTTTGAATTGATAAAACCAACTTTGATGAACTCTCTTTTCTTCCTACCTTTTTGGTTGGGAAAGAGAATGAACACAAAGATTATGACTTTGTAATTGTATTAACTTCTTTCACTTTTAGATTTGTTTTAAGTATTCAGTTCTCATTTGCAATGTTGATTTCATTTGTATCTTTTACAAATCTTATAAACTAATTATCTTTAGGAAAAAGAAACATATAACTCAGATCCTTTGCAATATGCTTAATTAGAGATATGAAGCCTTTCTTTGTTTTCAGGTCATTGCTTCTTGATGTACTTACATGAGTGAGAGCAATAACAACATCTACTGTTAACGCATCAGAGGCAGAGTTTAACAACTACTATACTCAAACTTCTAGGCCACAGAATGGCTAAAAATATGTGACCAGCGAGTATGTTAGTCTATTTTAAGAGCTTTAGATGTTGCAGTTAAGATCAGTGTTTCTGGTGGTGTTCTCTTGATTTCGACCTGCATGCTTTCTTCATTCCTTTGGCAGCTTGAACGAATCCCATAATAACCTGAAGCTCATCCATTTCCTGAGAGAGAGAATACAAATCCACAAAGTTGTTTTAGCTTTTTGATTTCAGTTGTTTCAAGAAGAGGAATGTTACCTGTGACATGAAGTGTCTTTGAACAATGTCAAGTAGTTGCTCTTTTGACGGGTTAGGAAGTGTATCCACCTTACCAAAACAGACCACACATCTTGTCAAAAATCAAAAGCTCTGTCCCACAATTAGTAGAAAAAAAAAAGATTGTTCATCTTGACTCACGAGGTTAAAATGTCGTATGTATCTCTGTAATGCAGGCATATCCAACTTGCTAAGATCAACCTTCTGCGTTAAAACCATATCATCAGTAACCAAGAAAAATTTCAAATGCATATCCCCCAACATAAGTCCAAAGGCATTATTATTACCATGTTCACACGAGGAGTAACACTCGAGCTTTTAGACTGTGAGTCACAAGATAAGGCCCTACACATTGCCTTATGTGATAACCGCGCTGATCTGTATCCTCTTTGCTTCGACTTGTGAGGCTTCAAATTGTCTTCACATGCTGACAAAAGTCACAATCAAAGAACACTTCAACATCGGAGAGTTGACAATATCTGACAAGGAACCAAACTTACTCATGTCTGAAGGATTCCATTGCGGATGCTCGACTTCAATATCATTGTCTTCTTCATTCCCTGTAGGAGCTTCGATGACACTCAGCGCATTCCTCTGCAACTTCACTTCGATTCCATTTGTTAAAACCTGAAAATCAAAACCATTATGTTTGGAATAAAAAAAAGATTCATATCAGTAAAAGTTTGAGACTTTTTGAGAAATGTGAATGCTGGGAGACAAGAAACTGATATTAGTAAAAATCATATGCATTGGGTAATGAAGAAATCGTATCATGGACAAAACATTAAAAAAATCTGTAAATTTGGTTATGCAATAAGATAAAAACTGAGTAGAAATGTGAATACAAATAATATTCTGAAACAAAAAAAAAATTCTAAAACAACTTAATTGAGTACCAATCAAATAGTAACGCAGGGAAATGGTGCAGTGAGTAATGATCAAATAAAGTGATTTTATAATAATTAAAAACTAATTAAGCAGCCTAATGAAATCAGGTAGTAAGCGAAAATGACACATCTGAGAAAAAGAAAGAACAAAAACCTAGTTAATATTAAAATTAGTGACAAAGTAAAAATCCAGCTTGAACCCACAAAAGATGAGAAAAAAAGGATAAGGATTCACAAGAAAAACTTGAGGAAAATTAAAAAAAAAAAAGTTCAAATAAATACAAAAAGTGAAGATCGTAATGATGCAATTCAGAATAAAGTTGGAATTTTTATGGACAATCAGTCCCATCGGGTATGGTCTTTCGGACAACCATTGATTTTATTGCATTATTGGAGCTTTAAAACACGAACCTTGTAATAATTTCAGATATGTAATAATAACAAGACAACAAAAATCCCAAAAAAAAAAGGAAGAAGCTTGGAGGGTGATGATTATTGATCTCACCAGCCAATGCCAACCACCGAGTCCGACAGCTTTCTGAACAACGCCTTGAAGACCAACGAGAACCGATTTAGTACGGTTGTTTCCGGTGACTACCACTTTTGTATGACGTGGCAGTACCGTTAATTCCTCCTCGCTACTGCAATCTCCCAAGTAGCTTTGTAGCTGAGAGAATCCTCTGTTATCAGCACCTTCCAGCATTTGTTTTTTTTTTTATCTCTCTTCTTCTTGATTTTTTTTTTAAAGAACAGCCAGCTCGAGTTTCACGATCTCTGAAATGGAGGTTGGTGCATTATTTGGAGGATTGAGCAGAGAAAAATCAGAGAGAAATTAGGGTTTTTTGATTGGTGTTTGTGGGGAGAAAGACAGAGTAAGGAGTGATGGCAAAAGCAGAGTATAGTAAGAGAGAGAGAGAGAGACGATAGCGACTGCCTTCCTAGCACGAGTACCTATGATATGTCGACACGTGGGTTCTGTACTGCAACTCTATTTGCACAATGGAAACTGAGCGGTTTTCTTTTTTTTTGTCTTTAATGGTTCCACCTAAAAACTGTTTAATCCAATTTTAATTTAATAAACAAAAATAAAAATTTACATCAATTCCAAAATTAAATTAAAATAGCATAAACTGATGAATTAATATTCAATTTGTAGGTTTTTTATTTGTTAAGAAGAAGCTATATTTTGTTGGTTCAATAGTTAGAATTCTTTTTATTTGAACGAGAAAGGTGGAGTGAATACTTTTGGTTAAATGCTTATGAACATTTAAGGTATTGATTTGTATTGGAATCTGAATTTTATGTTTGTTCAATAGATAAAAGAAGGAGGAAACGAGGGGCCACACTTGGTAACTTTTTGTGTAATGTATACACGCCATCGACGTGAATCTGAATGGTAGACTGATTATATATCTGTGTAAAAGGACAGGCTTAAAGGGCCCATGCATTCGTATAAATTTCGATAATACCACTTTATTTATTTTTTTCTCTTTGCTCTCCATGATTTTGAATTTTTGAATCACCCCAGGACTTGTATTAAATACTTGCCTCTTATGTATTCATATAAAACCATTCACTAGAACCAAAGTTTTATGGAGTGATTCTTAAGCCATAACACCACTTAACATTTACACCTATTAAAATGTTCATAGCAAGTTTTAGGGTAAAAAGGAAAAAATTGAGTGTCTTTACAGTTACATTTAAAATAAATAAATAAAAGTTGGCAAGGTAACATGGAAGTAGAGAGAAAAGCAAAACATATTTTTGAAAAAAGTCAATACCTTAGCCTAAAAGCCCAAAAATGCTAGAATAAGCAAAACACTTGGTGTTCAATTCTCTAAATAATCTGAAACTGGTGAGCAAAAAGAAAAGATAATCTGAAATTGGTATAATCTAGAGTACTCTATAATCTAACCGTAAACAGCACTAGAATGTGATTTCAATATATTTTGATTATCTATACAATCTTTCTCTGGTTTTAACCTAATGGAACAAATGTAAGACACACCTGTCTCCAAACTTGACAAAAGAAGGCAAGATAAGGTAACGCAACACTTTAAATAACTTTATGTATTGACAGAACCAACAAAGTCGTTGTAGTATAGTGGTAAGTATTCCCGCCTGTCACGCGGGTGACCCGGGTTCGATCCCCGGCAACGGCGATATATTTTTTTTTAACTTTATCTTATTAAACCCTCGGAACCACTCCAAGAGTTACATGCTCGCTTATTGAACCCTCTGATTCAGTGAGTTATCTGCTCCCTAGGGTTGTTTAATACTTCCAGTACATGTCACACGCATAGCTCCACCTTTTTTATTAAAAGATAGCGTCGTACGTTTTTGCTTATATAAATTGACAAATAAATGAATTACGACGTCTATCATGTTTCAGAAGTCAGAGCTGCACATTCTATGATATGAGGAGGGGGAAATAGACGTCCACGTTCTTTCTGCGTACAATTATATTTTTGAAAGTAACTGTTCACCATACAAAAGTAAATATTACCAAGATTTACAGCCACACATGACACACTCTTACTCTTATCAGTTATCACAGTCTGAAAAGTAACATAATAATTCAGATAAACAGCTTGTAAATATACTCGATAAAATCATGCGGTTGGGTCTTGCTGTAGGACAAATCTTCGAACTGGTTATAAAAAAATATACAATTTTCCAAAATATTGGCAAACTGATAATTCCTTTTAGAGAATAACCGGATAGTAAATACTGTGAAAGGTAAGTAAGAAACATGACGGATCTATTTATATATAAAATGTGTTGTGTATCATTGGTAAAATAAAGAAAGGATGGTATAAAGTCAAAAGCAATGGAATAATATTTTAGTATTTACAATACAAACCAGACAGGACAAGTGACCAATTTTTGTTCTTTCCATGCCAGAAAACATTGAGAGACTTTGAATTTAAATCTATTAATGTGTCACGGCTTTAATCATTTCATGTTGTTCATATCATAACAAACTTATTTCACTGGTTAGGATAGAAAAGAAAGAAGAAGAAGAAAAAGAACCAATCAAATGGTGTGTGTTTTTTGGTTAAGGGATCCACAAAGAAAAGTGAGACCCACTTTGTTGACTAATAATCCAATACATGCACAAGCTCTAATCCTCTACATCCACACCAATACATCCCTCAAACACACCTTAGCCAATCTCACCCTTCGATGGATGACGTCAGATGGAGCTACGTCAACATCAGCATCTGCGAGGAGGAAACCGTCGTGGAGAGAGAGGGAGAACAATAGGAGGAGAGAGAGGAGAAGAGCTGAAGCTTCAAAGATATACAATGGTCTTAGAGCTCAAGGTCAAAGATATACACTGGTCTTGTCTGTTTATAAATAAACTGATGTAATGTCAGTGTCACATATCCAAAAAAGCATGAGGAAACCTTATAGTATTGGTCTTTTAACTATCCTTTCTATGCGGTTTCTGCACCTGCTAGTCCCACGCGTCGCCAGTTTTATGCTCCGGCTACAATACCTGAGTGTGATTGGTCTGAGTCTTCAACTGTTGACTCTGGTCACTGGATAAGTTTTCAGAAGTTTGCACAACAACAACAACAGACATTCTCTGGCTCTATGGTGCCGACTTCTCCTCACTTCAATCTTGTGAAACCTCCCCCCGTGGCCCAGCAGAGATGTCTCCAAATGCTGCTGCTAATGAGTTCCAGGGGATTGGTCAAAGCTCCGAGTTTAAGTTTGAGAATAGCCAAGTTAAGCCGTGGGAAGGAGAGAGGATACATGATGTTGGTATGGAGGATCTTGAGCTTACACTTGGAAACGGGAAGGCTCGTGGTTGACTTTGAACTACTCAGCAAACTTGTACAACATGTTGAATGTGAATGTGAGAGAACTATTCTTCTTCTTCCAGGTATCTGGATCTTTATGCATTCTCATATGTTCTTTACTTACTGTCCAAATATGCGCCACAAAGCCTTCTCCACGGAAGCATTATTTGTAGATAAGAAATGTTAATGATATATGATTATTCTGCTCCTTACAAATGTTACATTAACTAGTGTTGTATCAATTCTTAAGCCATGATCCAAAACTTGCCGAACAGATTACTTTTTACAGTGATAAATTATTTATTTCCTTGCAGTTCAAGACTTCTATCAAAAACTAAACCCATACCATCAAATATATAGTTAGAAAACGATAGCCAGGGCCCTTAAGAAGTACACAACCAGTGAACACAACTAACTACAAATGCTACATTTCACAATGGAATACAAAAAAGGCTCACGTAGAATTTTCAAAAGTAGCTTACCGTTAACTAAAAGTAAAAGCCAAAGGAAGATTCAAAAGAGTAATCAACAATATCCCTTCCCTATACAATTGAGACATCGTTGTACCCTGCAATAATAACAAACAAACAAACTTTTAGTGTTCGGTTTGGTCTAGAAAAAGAACAATCAGACAAGATTTGAGTGTTAAAAAAGAGAGAGAAAGAGAAGCTGAACAAACCTGTGACCATCACAAGTAGGGCAAAGACATGGATTGATACAAACTGGATCATACAACGGAGACCATATTATAGTTGCGTTTCCTTTACACAACTTACATATATAAAACCCTTTCCCACGACACACTCCACAACACAACCCGCTTTTCTTCCGCTTCTCCTCTGCAGTGACTCGAAATGCTCCTAGAGCTGCCGTGGAAACCACGTTTACGATCAAAAACCCACCAAGAACTATGCCTGCGCTGTTTCTCAATAATTTAATCGGTTCTAGTGGCATCTCTTAATATTGTTATATTCTCTCAGGAATTTCGTCGAACAACTTGCGCGCGCGTTTTTTTCTGCTGAGCTTTTACCCCTCTACCAACCTGCTTTCTCAAGAACCCTTTTGTGAAAAGGAAAAGATGTATATCAGACTTTTCCGGCCAAATATGAGCACAGAAACATTTGGTTTAGGAGTTGCAAAGTCTTGTGGTTGCCCTCTTCTGGGCTTGGAGGAGTAACAAGAAGATGAAAGAGAGTTGTTTTGTCCTCATTTAATAGTAGTGTGTTTGACCATTTTGCCTTGTTCATTCAAGGATATTAGTCATATTATATACCAACTAAACCGGAAAAAATTGAAATTCTAAAGGCATGATCATAAGATCATCTGCAATGGTGTCACGTGGGCCGATCATTAGTCATGATCATTAGTCATATTTTAATTATTTTTTTTTTTTTGAAATATAAAATAAAAATTAAAAATAATTAACCAATCGTGGGTCGTCACGTGTCGTGTCGTGGAGACCCATAAATAGTGTAAGGATTCACTAAAAAATAGTTTTTAATTAGAGATTTTAAGGATTAAATCTTTAGTTTTCGGTAAGGTCCACTGGTTATTTAATTATATTTTCTCTAAAAACTCTTTATTGCGGATGTTTCATTATGCTTACTACAAACTTATTTTACTTTATTGGTATGAATATTAAGCGTGTTTCTGGGATGAGTTAGTTCTAGTGATAAAGGGGTTGCAACTATAATTATCGTCACCCGAGTTCGACCCGCACTGAGAGGGATGCTTTACGCTAACTGGTTGGTTTGGGGTCAGATTATTTGGACCAAGATCCACACCTTCTGGTGTACAAAAAAAAAATGAATGTTCAGCGTCTAATGTACTTGTTGTCGAGGTGCATTTAACACAAAGGCGTAAAAAATAGTGTATGTGTCACATCAGAATAAGATTATATATTTGTATGTATGTATATGAATCCACATAGATAAATAGAGATTGGATTTATCCTCCTGAAATCGTGTTCTCACGATAGCTACGAGCAAGGAGCACCTTAGTTATATATAAAAGCCGGCCAACAGAAAACGAGAAAAAAATCACAGAATAGTTTTTATTCGTAGTTAATTCCTGATCATGATCCTCTAAAAATCTATCTCTCTCTCTCTCTCTCCCCTAATAAAACTTTGGAGAAAGAGGAAAAAAACCCTAATCCTCTCTTTCTCTAAGAATCGTTCAGAAACAAATAAAATAATAATAACTAAATAGATGAAGATGAGGAAGCTTTGTCCGAATTTAGACAATGAAGACGGGTTAGAGACGGTGTTAGAGGTCCCTGTGCCTGAAGAAATGTTCACGAAAATGGGAAGCAACGCGACGGGACGGTGGAGGAATATGCACGCTCTTATGAAGGCTCATGCCGTCGTGACGGCAGTTGCGGCGGACATGAGAACGCCGGCGTCTTCGTCGTCGATGAGTAATGTTAATATGCATTTGCAGTCAAAATCAGATAACGAGTTTGTGGCATTGTTGAAGATCGTGGGAAGTCCTCTTATTCCTTTTCATGTCCCTCTTGAGTTCTGTCTCTCCCGACCAATCAATGACACTTCAATTGTACGTATATGTCATCTTGTGTTTACTGTTATATGTTTTGTGTTATTTTGTTTTTTTTGAATCTTCTTCGTTACCTAGTTTAACTTAGCATATTGGTGATTTTTTTAGGTGTAGATGTAGATTCTTCTAGGATTTTATGTTTAGGTTTCGTTTTGAACATGATATGAAAATCGTGTGACAAGACATTTACTAACATCAAATAAGCACATGTATATTGATTCAAAGAAAATTAGCCATACCAGGATTCATGGTTTATCAAGATTTTTATGTGGGTTTAGGTCCATTCGATTGTTCCTATAAGGACATGATTAACCCGTCTCTTAGTCGAAATTATTAATTTATGATTTGTTTTTTTTTTTACATTTTTTTGGTTAAGAAATGTTTTATATCTTTTATTTAATAGACAAAAATTTAAGAAAAATTAAAAAATATCTTTTATTTAAAGCTAAGAACCCTAGTTAAGAGACTGACGTTAATCATTGTCTAAAGATTTTTAGCTATGTAGCTAGTACAAAGGTTTAAAAGTCAAGAAACTTTGACTTTTGTATGATCCAATTGGACTAGAAACAACATGCACGCATGCTTGTCAGAAATGACATTTTATAGAGATAATAACTTGTAGTAGATAGAGTTTTCTCTTCTTTTTGTATGAAAAAATATCGTATAATTGGTCAAATTTCGTTGTACATAATGCACCTTATGCCTAATTACTTAAAATATGAAAAATAGTCTGTGTAATGTTGATAGTACTGGTGTGTGTATATATATTTGAAGGAGGCGTCGACGGCTAAGTACATAGTGCAACAATACATGGCTGCCTGTGGAGGTCCAGCAGCTTTAAACGCGGTGAAGAGCATGTACGCAGTGGGGCAGGTGAGGATGCAAGGCTCCGAGATGGTTGCTGGAGAGGATGAAGGGACAACAACTACACCGGTTCGGTTAGGGAAAGGAAATTTCGAAGTAGGAGGTTTTGTTTTGTGGCAGAAGAATCCAAATCTTTGGTTCTTGGAGCTGGTTGTTTCCGGTTTCAAGATTAGTGCCGGTAGTGACGGCAAAGTGGCTTGGAATCAATCATCTACACAACCTTCTCAGGCTCACCGTGGTCCTCCTCGCCCTCTCCGCCGGTTTTTTCAGGTACATACATCTCAAAATAATAACCATTGCATTGTATGTAATCATTGATACATTATATCAAACTTTATATGATTAACTAAACGAATTTTTATAGTCTATTGAATTGTATTAATGACAATGTTGACATGTTCGAACATGGTACCATGCATTACATGATTATTAAACAACGAGGAAAGCAATCTAAATAGAACTAATTAAACTAGACAAGCCATACAATACACACCATTAAAACATGTAATCCTAGTTGTAAACCAAGAAACTAAAAAACTTTGGTTGCATATTGGTTATATTTATATAAATGACATGTAACCAAATAATATTTTGTTATAAAGTTGCATGTACATTTTGATCTGTGAAACTATGTGGCAGGGACTAGACCCGAGGTGCACGGCTAGTCTGTTTCTAGACGCAGTTTGCATCGGCGAACAAACCGTTAACAACGAAGACTGTTTCGTCTTAAAGGTAGAGACACCAGCAGATATTCTCAAGGCGCAGTGTTCGCCTAACACTGAGGTGATCCACCACACCGTGTGGGGTTACTTCAGCCAACGAACGGGACTTCTCGTGAAGTTCGGTGACACAAAGCTCGTGAGAGTCAAATCCGCTAGGGGAAAAACGGATGGTGTGTTTTGGGAGACGAGTATGGAGTCAACCATTGATGACTACAAGTACGTTGACTCGGTTAATATAGCACACGGTGGACGAACGTTGACCACGTTATATCGTTATGGAGGAGCTGTTAACCACCGGAGACGAATAGAGGAGAAGTGGAGGATCGAGGAAGTGGATTTTAATATTTGTGGGTTGTCTTTGGATAGCTTCTTGCCACCGTCTGATGTCAACAATGATTGATCATTAGCTACGGTCGAGATTGTTATACCCTCTCTTTCTCTCTAGCTTTCATTGTTAGAATATTGGTTTGGTTTTGAAAATTAGGTTTCTTGAAGGACGAAATGGAGATACACTTGGGATTTGGTATACATGGGAGGGAGTGGTCTTGTTTTTTTTTGTCTACAGAGATAGATATGTAATTTCAAGGTTGGCGTTTGAGAGGATGTAAATGAAACGTAACTGTAAAATATATTTTTCCTAATCTTCATGACTTATTTTGTTCGTTTCTTTACCCCAAACGACTAATCAAACGACTAATCAGCTTAGTAACTACAATTAAGCTGATTGGCTTACCTACTAACCTACATAAACAAAGATGGTGTGTTAAATCATTGTTTGGTTATACTAATGTATTTGTGACAAAAAGGTTAATACTATTGTCTTTTTTTTAATGGTATCATATCTTTACATAGAATTTTCTAAACAAATTATTATCTTATTATTTATCTTATGAAAAATCTATTAATTTATAGAAGTTTTACGATGATTCTTAGTGGTGCTACTTGCATCATAAATTTATAATGAATCGTTTATAAAAGTCTCTGTCTAATGATTATACTTACACGTTACACCATACTGTTCACTCATAATAAACAGTATTTGTCATTCGAACCTCACAATAAACTCTTAATCAGACCTTATTTCCACAGTTGATAAAAATGTTAGTTGGCTAAACAAAGAAAGAGTGATCAGCTTAAAATGATTAGGATGTGTAACCAGTATCCTAGCACTCTAGTAGAGATGTAGAAATTGCTAAAACACATGTATGAGAAGAACAAAATTGCTAGATTAATTAAGTATCCTAGTGGACCAAACTAACACGATTCGGCCCATTAGAATGATTACCCAAGTCCGTTAAAAACGAAACCCTAGATGGCGAGAAGAATCTCTCCCATATAAATACTAACGATGAAGTCCAATTTTAAAGTACAACCTATCTAACACTTTCATCTTCATAAGCAACAGCTTCTGTCCTCTCCTAGATCTCTTTTAGTTACATTGATTTGTATTTTTTTCTCGTGTTCTTGATCGTTGGTTGATGTTCGTATTTTAGTTATGTATTATTGTTCGATTTGCTTCCGAGTTTAGTCTATATAATTGCATCTGTTTTACCCACTTTTCTAACCAAAGTGAGTAAAAATCACAAAGAATGGTAGAAAGGTTAAGAACTGGTGCATAGATTGAAACGGTTATCTTACCAACCCATTGCATATATTTTCTCTTGCTTTGGCGTCAAATGAATCGACCGAAACTTCTCCTTTTTGCTGTGTATGATATGTAATATTAGATGGCAAATGAAGAATTGATTATTATGCTTAAAAAACGCAGAATTATAGTGTTCGACAAACAATCTCCGCTTATTATCTGATGCCATTTGTCTTTTTTTTTTGTTAATTGTTTTTTTTGGTTATGGGATGAAACAATGATGAGATAATTGCAGACGGGCGGTCTGAATTGATGCCGTGTAGATTGTCTGCCATCGCTACAAAGTAGCATTCTCTGAGTTTCTGTTCTTTTTTTATGTAATAGTTTGATGTTACTGCGATGATGAATTTGCTTCTAATTTATGTCTGGACATATGAGATTATTCAATCACTGATATGACTGGTGCAAATTTTCTGAGCTTTCTTTTATAGTCAAACTTAGAGTTATTTTTTTTCATTGTTTGCAATTTTCTTTCTTACATCAATTAGTAAATTACCACAATTAACTAGTTTTCTAACATGTTTTTTTCCAGCCTATTAGGTGTAACTGAATGGATGTTTTGTGTAGATGCAATTGTTGTCTGAATGTTAGTTTGTTTGATCATTACAGATGCATTGGATAATTATTACCGTATCTGTTGATGGTCTAAAGATATTTGTGCCTACATCTTCTGTTACCGCACGATACTGATAATAATGGCTCAAATCAGTTTCAGAGTTTTGTCTCTTTCAGAATGAGCTGGAACTTGTAAAGCAAGACATATAGGGGCTGTGATATAGGAAGAGCATCGAATAGCAAAATATAAGATGAAGGAAGACAAGATTGGTGATTGTGGTGCATCACCTTTTACAGCTGTTCTGTTAAGTGAGATGTTTCAGGAGTTATCGCAGAGAATACTTGAGCATCTGAGGAGGATAACAATGATATATTTGTGTTTAGATGTATGCTAATTTAACAGATATATATAAATCTAAATCGCGTGATCCAGAAACATTTTTGCCATCTTTTGCTTTGCTTATGAAGTTTGCTCAATGGACCATACCAAACGTAACTCTTACACTCAAAAACATTTAATTACAGACAATTTATGCGTCCAAGAGCTTTTTTCCTTCAATCTCAACAAGAAAAACTCTGAAGAAAGATTTATATACTACTACTTACTACACACCAGTATTAGCTATTATAACTATATAAGCTTAGCTATTATAACTATATAAGCTTATGAGATCTGCAGTGGAGTAAGAGAGGGCGATCTGAGTGAAACTACTAGATAAGCCTTCTTCTGAAGTTTCTGGTTGTTGATTGATAAGTACGAACCAGAAGTCCAACTCCAATGCCGAGTCCTACACATACACCAAGCCCAATCCCCACACCAACCCTCACACCTGCATTGAACCATGACATTTCTCCATCTTCACCATCTCCATACTCTCTCCTCATATACATGTCATCATCATATTCTCCTTCATATTCTTGTTTATATCTTCCATATTCTGTTACCTACACACACATACACACAAAAAATAACTCCTTTACTTAGGGGACAGAACGCAACAGAGAGAGAACTATTATTACCTGAAAATCAAGCTCAGAGGAACTGCCTTTTTGAGGCTCATATTCAGGAATCGAATCTAACGCAGTCTCTCTATAATGATGCTTCTTTCTGAAACCAAGCTGTATTGTCTTGGTCAAAATAATGGGTGTTCCTGAGAAGCAACCAGTGACATACACTTCAACACTTGGCAACAGAGATGACAACTCCGAACAACCAACATGTTCTTCCTTCAAGAAACCACACCCTGCAGTAATCTCAGCTTCACAGTTCATGTTCCACTGCTTTGTAGATTCACCATTACTACCAGACATCATCTCTAACGTCCCAGACAAAACAAGCTCATCTCTGTCGTAAACCTCAAACCTCACACTACCAGATAACCTGATGTTGTCTGTGCTGATGAAAGTAGCTGCTTCTGATATCTTATCAACATGGTCTCTCCTTAGCTGAGAGGAAACGGTGCTTGTTCGAACACCGTTGATCTCAAGAAGTGAATCTTGATCAAGAGGGATGTGAGTGATTGTGAGGATCTCTGGTGTGGATTCATCCACCTTGAAGTTGTTGATTCTGACATAAAACACTCTCAAATCTAGCAATGATGATGATAACGATGCTATTGATGATGATGATGGTATTCTTGAATTGTGATGGTTATATCTAACCATCTGATATGATTCACCATTGTTACGTGTCTCGCACGGTTCCACCATGATTAAGAAGAACCAAAACAGATTTCTTTGTCAGAGAGACGTCTGCAGAAAATTTGGATCAATGAGAATAACGTGAGGAATCTCACAAAGGGAAAGCAAACATTAACATTCATTCATTCATTAAGTTCAAAAAAAAAAAAAAAACATTAACATTCATTCATTCATTCCCGAAATAGAAACTTTTACAAGGTATCATTAAAAAAAGAATATAAAGATTCAAACTTTACTTATTTTTTCAGAAACAGAGAGAGATGGTCAAGAAAACAAGGATTACAGATGATGCAGAATCAAATATATCTCAGGTGAGAGAAAAAGCAACATTCAGTGAGAGAGATATCTACAATGTTTTGTGTGTAAGAGAATAGATTTTGAACATCTTTTTTTTTTTTTTGAACAACAATTTTTTGAACATCTTAAACTATGTTTCTATCACAAAGGAACTATCTTTAACAAAAAGAATTAGATTTTTTTGAAAAACCAGAAAAATCCGGAGAAATGAAAGGAAGCTCAGCTCACCAAGAAGATGTTTAATCCACGAAGTCACAAAGAGTGCTTAAATATTATCCTAATATTATTAGCCTTTTTGTTTGCGTCTCCAAAAAAAAAAAAAGAATTGAAAACAGAACATTCCAAGACAATTTTTAAGAAATAAAACACGGAAAAGGATTTTGTCTTTATCGAAAATATTTGTTTTTTTGGTCTTTATCGAAAATATTTGTATTTGGTGAAATCACGAAAAAGAAATATAATCGGGAGAAAATGATCACAAGATGGGCTGTTCTGACTTCCGCTCACGTGATCCTTATCCTTTTTGGACCAGAAGCCTATATTCGCTGTTTACGAGACACAGTCACTTTTAGTAGAAACTACGCGCATTCTTCTGTTGTTTTTTCACAACGGCACGTTATTAGGCTTTTGAATTTTTTTTTTTTTTTTTTTTTTTTAGGCTTTTGAATTTTGTTGTAAGAACTTTTCATAATCTTTTATTTTTAGCTACTACGTTGACTGTATCATTCGTGGTACTCTTTAAAAACCATGTCACGGTTTGAATATTGAACTTAAAGCTGCTCTACAAAAAGAAGAAGACGATTATGTATGAAAATGAGAATAAAATAAGAAAGTAGTTGCAAACTTGCAACTTACGTAACTGTATATAGACTAATATAGTTAAAGAAGAAAACTGTAATATAGCAAAGAAATGGAGTTGTATACCTTTAGAAGCTTATGAGATGTATTTATGGATTTAATATAAAATTGGAAAGCTCTTAAATAGAGCTCAAACCTAACACACAAATTGCAGCTACCAACCGGTGGTTGTAGGGTGGCAATATTCTTCAAAGTTATTGCAAATTTCAATATTTGAAGCTTTATAGTTTTGACACTTGTATAATATATGAATAAAAGTAACACATTATATATTACCCTATAATAATCTTTTTTTTTTTTTTTGAATGAATGTTAAATTCATATTCAAAAAACCCTTGTTACATTGTACAATGCATCCTTGCATAAACATAATTCAAAAAGGTCTACTCTCTACTTCTACTTACAAAACCAAAAAAAAAAAAAAAATTATTTTAACCGCCAACTTCTGGTCTTGTGAAGAACCAATATTGCAGTCCACCTTCCAACCTTTTATCCCCATTCCTCTGTATAGTAGAGAAGCGATTTCTCATTCCTCTGTCCACCATCCCAATCAGTTTAGTGAAAGGTATCGCTGCCTCTCCATGTCTTCTCCTGTTCCTTTCTAACCACAATCCATGGATGGTTATTTGGAAGAGGTATTTCAGAGTAAAAGACTTAACAGTTCTCTGACCCGTTGAAATTTGATGCACAATCTCATACCAATCTGTAGTGAAATCCTCCCCCATCACCCCCCCTGCAAGATTCTTCCAAACCTCTGCCGAATATTCACATCCAAAGAAAAGATGGTTCCTCTATCCTATAATAATCTATTAATTATAATGGTGGATAATATAGAAAAGAAATGGACAAACATAAAATCTAGTTTTGATATAAAGACTGTTGTTGTTTTTGTTTCTGTCTTTAAAACATTGATAAATAAAATAAAATAAAACACGAGGACAAATTATTACCCTTGACGATATTTTTATTTATTTTTACAACAGCTAAAAGTTATATAAAATGTTTTTTTGACAAAATAAAAACATTTTTATATAACTCTTTTTAAGTTATATAAAATGTTTTTTTTGACAAAATAAAAACATTTTTATATAACTCTTTTTAAGTTATATAAAAATGTTCATGAATATATTAAAAACAAATAAGCTGTTAAAAGATTTGTATGCTGTTGAGAGTAAAACTGATGGGAAAGAAAAGGTTTTAGAGAGGAAATGAACAGTCAGTCACCTCCGTGGGAGTCTCAGACAACAAGGAGACGAAGAGGAAGGCTGAGAAAGAATCTTCAGAGCTCAAAAGATTTCAAGAAGGAAGAAGACGAAGATGAGATTAATACAGAGTTACACAGAAGAAATTAGTTAGAAGTAGCGCTACTGTGGAAGAAGGAAAAAGTGGAAACATGAAGAATTACCTTGTGAGGAGGAGGAGGAGAAGAAGAAGCTGCCTTCACGTAGACGGTCGAGGAGGAAGAACACACCGGTGAAGAGCTGGTATCTATAGGCTTAAATAATTGTGTGTGTGTTCATCGTTTTTAACTATTGTCTTAGTTATAAATTAGTTACGTTATAAATTAGTTACAAACCCTCATGGGAGAAAGACTTTTGACTTATAATTTCTTGAATCAGATAAAAACAAGTTTTGCCAACCATTGTTTAGTTTTAGAGTGATTTAAAATTAATTAAAATGAATAGTTTTATAATAAGCTTGACAGGGTGTTAGTTGTAGACTTGTAGTAGTAGATTTGTGTAATGTTTGGTTAGTGTAGTTTATGGTAACGTCACTTTCGGATATTTGAATGATACCAAAAAGATGCATCGCATATGGTGAATGGATAAGTTAAGAAACTAATGGATATTGCTAGTGAACCAACTTGTCTATATATTACGAACTTGATGTAACTATCACTCAAAACTTTAACTTAACGTCATTCCTAAGTTCATAACACTTAATTTGACAAAAAATAAAACAAAAGAGTGAGAGGCTACAACAAATAACCTTAAAATCCTAGATCATCATTGTTCATTTCTGGTGATGTTGGTGTCCAGGTTTTGTCACTGTTGGCATAATCATCACTCTGTCTGAGAATAACTTGATCAAATTACAAAAAAAAAAGTACATTGTAAGTTTGTAACAGAAGATTATTGACACAACAAACAAACAAACAAATCTTTAGTAACTTCTCAGCCCATCAGCTAGAAACTCTCACATTATCTTGTTTCTTCTTGTTCTTGACCAAAACAGAGATATATAGAGAGAGAGAGATAAATACAAAAGAATGAAACTGTTTTGTGTGTTTCTCATCTGAACAAGGCTTGAAGTTCTTCAAGCGTTTTCCCTTTGGTCTCAGGAACCCACAGAGTCACAAACACCACTGTGAATGCACACACACCCGCGTATAGAGTGAAAGTTGCTGTCAAAATTAACCAAAACCTCATTAGGAAAATAATCTATTGTTCCTTATGGTACAGAGAGAGAAGAGAAAGAGAGAGAAACCTCCACTGCTCCAGGCTAAGAGCAAGTTAGCAGTCATGGTGATCAACCATGAGAAGAACCAATTGGCTAAAGTTGCTATACTTCCAGCTAAACCCTTTATGTTCACAGGAAGGATCTGTTTGCCAACAACAACAACAACAAAGCAATCAAAAGGTAGTGTAAGGAAGTTTTTTAAGGTCTAACTTCTAAACCAAACTCTATACCTCAGACATAATGAGCCATGGAATTGGTCCCATTCCCAATGAGAAAGAAACAACCATTGCCTGTGTAATGATTCAACAAGAGTTAAATCAAAGATAATATAGCTTATTGCATCAAGAAAGTTTGCAAAACAAACAAACTTACCACTACTCCAACTACAGACAAGATGCTCAACATACTGTACATGTCTGAATCAGGAGACACAAATTCCTAAGACAAGAGATGAAAAACTCAAAAAAAGAGTCAAACCTCAGGATTGGTTGAGAAGATACAATAATGGTGTTTTAGGGAAGTTAAAACTTACCTTAAGGTAAAAAGCTGCTGCAACAACTACAAGGCTAATCGTCATCCCAATTGAAGAGATCTAGAAAATAGTTCCATTTGCCTTATTAGCTTTAAGGAAAAGTCCTAAAGATATGAAACTAATGAATTGGTACTTACAGTAAGCAGAAGCCTACGACCTGCTTTATCCACCAACCATGTTGAGATTGCAGTCGCCACTACTTGAATAGCACCAACCCCAAATGTTGCTGCATTACTCGAGGTAACTCCTATAATCGAAAGAATATGAGATTATGTAACAATATGAAACAAGAAGCATCAGGTGTTCTTAGGGTAAGGACCTACCTGCAGATTCAAATATTGTACTGGAATAGAATAGGACGCCATTGATTCCACCGAGTTGTTGAAGTACAAGCAACCCTATACCAACCTGTTGCACACGCAACAAAATTAACTGGAGTTTAAGATAATGTTTCTTATGGCGGAGAAAGTATAAACCAGGGGAAAGATATCTGCACCATAAGAGGGAAATAGTATCTCCTGCGCTTGAGATCTACAAACCGAACTGTAGATGATCTCTTTGTAGAAGATGCCACAGATCTCTGCACATTTACAAAAAACAAGTGTTTAAGCATCCGTCTTCTTCGTGGTACTCTTTGGAACGAATTATCATTTTCAGTGGTAATATACCTTGATCTCATTAACTTCAACAGTAATATCCGTCTCAAATCCCCTGAGAACTTGTAACGAAGTCTCAAAATCATCAGTCATACCCATTTTTGCCTACATTTAACGAAAGGAATGTGTCCCATAAGAGTGGATTAACCATAACATGCACTAAGCTAAGAAGAAAAATAAGCTAACTATTGTGTAAGGCGTACCAGCCAGCGAGGGGATTCAGGTATGAAAAAGAGTCCTGGGATCAGTACTATGCACGGCAATGTCCCTATAGTTGAAAGTAATACAATCAAGAAGTGCTTAGAGCTTATCATGTTCAAAAGAAGGGTTTCAG